GGTAGAGCCAGAGTCTTGATTTGGACATGAACATGAACATGCGGCAATGCTGCGTTGTCGTTTCCTCTTCCCTGGCTGAATCTGCTCATATCCACCCTGGGTTGGATCACCCGGGCTGCCTTGTGCATCGCTATCTACAATGATACGAGGCAGGCACCACTCATTGTTATTTTCGAGTGCTGCATTAAGCTCCGTTAGCTTCTCAGTCACCAGGGGTTCGATGAGCTCGGAGTGATAGCGTCTTTCGGAAAGCGGGATTCTCTCTAGAACCCTCGCCCGCGCAGCCTCAGTCTTGGGCTCCGTTGACGATGGATAAGGTTCCCTTAGAGGGGTGGAAGATAAAAGAACTCTTCCTCCATGATAAGATCCTGAAGCAGAAGGGGCTGGATGGGGTCGTGATGGCGGAAAGTCCTGTCCTGGAAGCGCTTGTGCTTGCGCGATGGAGCTGGGAATATCGACCACAAAGGCGGTGGCACTGGGGTTTTCGTAAAGTATTGAAGACTTGATGGCCATGGTCAGTCCGGGTTGGACCAGGGGATTACTCGAATTTATATGTGTTCTGGCTTAGGGGGGTGGCATCATTGTGACGGTTCAAATTTTGGGAAGGAAAATGAAATGGAAGGTGGGTTTCAATATGGTAGTGACCAAATGCTTAGGGAGATTGGCGAGTTCTTATCGGAATAATTACAACGATCATTGCAATATACATATGGCTTAAAGATCGATTATCCCTGTAACTAGTCTCTCACTATAAGCTTATAATGTGTGATTCCAGCCACAACCAGTGGAGCACAGCTCAATAACTTGGACAGCCGGACTCAGCATCATGCCAACGCAGGCCATCGTTTTCATATGCTAGGCTGGGCCATCCACTCCCCAAGTGACCGAATAATAAAAAATAAACAATACCGTCTGGTCTCATATCCAACAGAATTATGGCAAAGAAAAAAACATATAACCAAGCCACAAGGTGGCAGAAATCACTTAAATGCTTATTGACATGACAAAGGCAACACCACTATGCTCTCAAATGGACAAAAATCACAACACTTTTTTCTCATCTCGTTCCTCCTTCCTCCGTTTCCAAGACGATCCAGCGTCGGTCTAGGTGTGACAAGGGTCATTTCGTTATAGCCATACTACTCTCTGTATCCCGGAAATCGAAAAAAGGGTAAGGGCAAAACTTTATACATCAGGTTGAAGTCAATGGCGAATTAAAGAGTTATAAGTAAGCCTCAATGCTGGAGATCAATCCGCATTAGCGTCGGTCGCCCAGGTAAGCCGTAGGCTCTCACATATGCTGGGGATGACTCACACGGCCACGTCGTCCACCCGCAGACTGTGTCTGAGCTGGCTGCGCTTGGGAATAGAACTGGGAAGGATACTGATACATCGGGGCGGAGTTCATAACAGGGCTGAATTGCTGGGGGGCAAATGTCGATTGGTTCATCATAGAGCTGGGGTTGATCTGGCCAGGACCGCCAGCCAAGGGAGCACCCGGGGTCTGCAGAGCCCGAAGACTGTCAGCCGAAGGCGTTCCAGCCGGGTATCCGAAGCTGGAATTTCCTAGGCCGGGGTATAGTCCCGAGGGGGAGAGACCCCGGGACTGGGCAGCCAAGTAGGCCTGGTACTGGAGCTGTTGCTGGGTCAAAGGCGCCAAGGGCTCCTGGCCGAAGCCGGTACCATTGACACCAACTCCACCAACCCCGTTGAGAGGATTGAGACCACCAGCAGAACCAATGCTGTTCATTCCATTGATACTGTATGGATCAAAAGGAGCGGGATTGGGTTGCTGCTCAGAGGCAACGGGCCTGGTTGCGTCCAGACCTGGACCTAGCATGGTAGGGAACTGCGCACCATACTGCCGTTCCATGGACTGCTGGGAGCCGTAGTTTGACGCCGCCTGCCGGGAGGTTGGGCGGTGCTGTTGCTTGTCCGGGTTGGAAACATGATCACGTCCGTGGTGATTATCGCGAGCACCTCCCCGAGACGACAGGCCAACTTCGTCCATCAAGCGCTTGTAGCCTTGACTGGGAGTTGCCTTCAGCTTAGTGAGGACCTTGGAGACGTTCTTCACCACTTCTGCGCGCATAGACTCATCAAAGAAAGGCGTGGTAAGAACCTTGAAGATCAGCGTCGCGCCCGATGTCTGGTCGCTCAAGATCTTCTCCAGCACCTCGTCGCCTGGGCTGAAGAAGAGGGCCTTCAACACTATCTCACGGGCATCTGGTTCGTTGCGTTGATTGATCACCTTCAAGACAGTTAGGTAGGCGACCTTGTGGGTGCACAAGTGCACGAGATGAGGAACCAGGCGCGGTGCAAGCACGGTGCGACGTCGGGGGAAAGTGCAGGTATCCAAGAACCACGTCAACAGCAGAGCCCCGTTGGCATTCGTCGCAAGCTGTACGCTGTGGAGAGCAATGGCTGAGGCAAGCATGCGTTGCTGGTCCTTCGAGGCGTGGTGGCTTTCAAGGCATGCTCGCATGGCCCGAGCACCGAAGCGGCCCTGGGCGATTTCCCACATCCGGCTGAGCATCGTCTCGAAGATGAAATCATTGAACGGAGCACCGAAACGCAGGCAGCACTGGAGAACATAGTTGCCGTACTGGTCAAGGAAAAGCGGAACGGTGTATGGCCTCAGAGCATCAACGATCATCTGCATCTGGTTCGGAGTCTTGGCCACATCAATGATCTTCTGTGCGGCCCAAGTTCCGTTCTTGTGGACACCAATTTCAGCAAGGTGAGGCGCAATGGGTCCGAGCATCTGCTCCTTGGTTGGTTCCGAGCAAAATTCAAAGAGCTTCTGGACGACAGTGTTTCCGAGGTAATCCGACGAGAGCTCTGCGATTTCCGGCAGCATCGCAACGGCAGTTTCCTCAATCTCCTGGACCGAGCAAGCTCCGTTATCAATCCTCTTGCGAATATCGCGGAGCCGCGGGGCGTCGAACATCCTAGTTTGGCTAGGCTCGGCGATGGGAGGAATCTCATCTTCAAATGCATCAAAGGCAATTGCGCGATGAATGCTAGCGCTGATGTTGTGAGCATCGTCTTCCGTGGCCCCAAACTCGGTGACAATTTGTGCCATTTCCGGCTGCAGCTCAGAAAGAGATGGTATATGCGGAATGCTAGTACCGCTCTCCGGTCTCACAATACCATCAGGTCCGTTCATGCTCGGGTCAGGAGTCGGAGAAGACTGGGCTCCGTTGACGCCGGGCGTGCCAGAGGCGGAAGTGCCAGGAACTTTAGCATATCCGATCCGGACAGGGCCAGCGCCAGGGAAGATCTCCTTTCCGTTGAGAAGTGACTTGGCCTGAATAGCACTCTCAATGCGCTCATAGTTGACAAAGCCACAGTTCTTGTGGGTCAGTACGCGAGTAGACTCGATTTTGCCGTACAGGCTGAAGATCGCCTCCAGAGACGTGACCGTGGTGGAAACAGGAATGCTGCCAATCCACAAAGCACGTGTAGGACCATCCTGATTATTCTCATCCGCCAACTCTCCCGTTTGCCGCATTCCCACGTTAGGCGCGCCACTTCCACCAAGATGCATGAGCTGAACAGCTTCCGACAGCTCATCATATTCTCCGCCTTCCGCGATGTTAAGATCGGCAGCGCTAAAGCTGTTCTCGAGACGCGAAGGAGTAGCGAGGTAATTGCGGATCGACGAGCGCTGGGGAGGAGCCTCCAAGATTCCAGCGGTCCTGGCACGGGGTCGGCTGGCAGAAGCGTGGTTGGCAAATGCCTGTACCGCAAGGTTGTGCTGATGAATCTGAGCCTGGGTTGCGGCCAACTGGGCTGCTGTTGCAGCCGCAGAAGGAGTAACGGTGCCAGAGGGAAGTTGCGAGTAGCGGCTCTCGTACTCCAGGTCCTCGTCATCAGCATACTTCTCCTTCGCGTTCACCGAATACGATCGGATGCGGCTGTTATTCTTCATCATAGCCAGTTCCGCCAGCAAAGGGGGCAAGGAAGACTGTTGTTGCTGTTGCTGCTGTTGCTGTTGCTGCTGCTGTTGAAGGAGCATATTAACATCAGGCCGCACAAGCGTAGCTCGTGCCTGTTGCGGTGTCTCCGCCAAGCCCAAGTAGTCTAGCGTTTTCACATCAGTATCCGCAAGCCCGTCCCTGGAGAATGACGACTGGCTGGGAGAGGCAGGTCCTTCAGAAGAACGAATGCTTGTCAGTGTTGTCGCGCGCTCACGCCCGGTGGCCCAACTAGTAGAGAACAGAGACGGTCCGAATGGACCGGCAGAGCCCAGAAAGTTTGCTCTCTGGGGCATAGAACCTGCTCGGAGACGCGAAAGGGAACCCGCGCTGCCCCCACCAGGGGCAGTTGCGGTCTTCGCGCCTGTATCGATACCGGAAACGCCGGATGGACGGAAAGGGCTGGTTGACGGCGTGGGGCGGGACGTCTGGGGGATATATGGTTGTTGAAGGTTCACCTCATTCAATGCACCGACGGGCGAAAATCTTGAGGGAACAGTACCAGCTCTTGCTCTCCGACCAGGGCTATTGATCGAGCCGCTGGAGGTAGGCACCAGATCCGGAAATCCTTCCTGGCTCGGGGACTCCGGGATATTCTCGCGAAGAGGGGTTGAATGACCGCTAGTCGGCGGACCCCAGATACTGGGTGAAACGCCTTCCTCTGCCTGGATCTCTCGCGCTCTAATTTAGGAAATGACAGGCATTAGTCTGCGAGGAACGGAATGTGCGCATCGAAATAGCTAGAGTGCTTACCGTTTAGAGTACAAACGAGCCCCAAGTTCATGAGAAGGGGATCCAGCCCCTAGCCTCGCGCCGCCAATTGAGCCTGCGGCTCCATTCAGACCATTCGATGGGCCAAATGGCGACTTGATGGCAGCAGATCCAGACAGATCACTGGGAGAGCTACGCCCTGTACTGGTTCCAGACATTGGTTGAGTGGTCGGAATATAGTTGAGGTTCATATGACCATCCGGTCGTGAAACAGGGAGCATTATGAATTATTTCCCTCCACCTCAAACGAAGGCGGACACCGGACACCTTGTGTATGAATACAAGTAATGATATGCAGTTGTCGGGTCGGTAAAGATGCTGCTCAATCGAAGGGTTGCCTCACGAGGATCATGTGTCAGTTCGGTCTGTTGAAAACCAAACCTCGATAATTGAGAGCCGGTGTCAATGGAGAGCACCGGGGCAATCAACACTGAAACGATTGATCAGTGAACGTATAGTTCGACGCTCGAGGAAGCCAGCGTTCTGTGCGTCCAGCCGGTATGTGGATGTGCTCGTGGCGGGGTTGACGGAGGACTGGGTCCGAAAGAATACGTAAGCTTGAACGAGCACGGATGCTCAGGAAATAGGAGAGAGACAGCGAGATCGATGGAGTAGTAGTTGTCAATAGTTGTCCGTTAAGCGTGAGGCCCAGTCAGCTTTGTCACCCTGGGTAATGATAATCTCTGGACTAGTGGCCAGATTCGATTGCCACGATCCACCGCAGTGATTAGGTCCCGAGTGTTCAGAAAATATCGCTAACCCGCAAGGACCCGCTCGAAATGACCGCAAGGACACGAGGAGATTGAATGGGAAAATTATCGAGCGAGGGGGGGTGGTTGGGAGGAGAGCGAAAGAAAGGAACGCGAAGGTCGTGATGTACGGGGGTGGATGAAAGCGAAGCCGAAAAGGGTCGCTGGACTCTTTTAGGGTGGCTGGAATAAATTGCGCGGCTTCGGGCAGAAGCCAGAAAAAGATACAAGAATGGAAAAGACCGACGATAGGACGATACTAAAAGGGATACTGAATTGAAGGATTACTCAAAAGAGAAGAAATTGGGGGAAGAGGGAAGAGGGAAGAGATTGGAGAGTAAGACAGGAAAGGGGTGCATGAAAAGAGGAGGCGTAAGAAGGAGGAGGAAGAAGAATAGATGGCGGTGGATGTTGGTGAAGGGGAAGAGAGTAGAGCTGCACCGGCGCGGAGGGAAAAGGTAAAAGGTGGTGGAAAAGAGACTTCGAGAGAGAAGGAGGAAGGCGGTTAGTTTACTTAGTTGGGGAGCTCAGGTTTGCCGGATCCCGGGGGCATGTCATATCCACTCCTCTGGTTGGCCGGTCGGGTTCACCCATTCTCTTTTTTCTTATTACTCGAGAAAGTGTGCCTGTGAAATGCATGAAAATTAAATGTCTAAATTTCCTGACTCTGATGGGAATGACCCTCATAATGGTGGTCTTTTCGACCTTAACATTGGTGAAGGATCCTTCCCTGTTCATCCTCATCCCCATCTTCATCCCTTGGTGCTCGTGCCCACTGCCCAGCTGGCGATCAACCATTATTTTCTGCTGCTTTTGCTCGAACCCCCGGGGAAAAAAAAGAGAGGGTCAAGCCTGTCCGTTCGGTTCATCGGTCAATCCCCCTCCTAAATCCGATTTTCGAGAAGCTCCTAAATAGCGCATGTTCCACCCTCAGCCTTCCACAAATCCATGATCGGCTCTCTCGCAATAGTCTCTTGTCAGCGATAATGGATAATTGTCGCTATACTTCCATAGTGCTTACTATATCTTTCAATATTTTGTCTCATTTATCACGTAGATATGGATATTAGAGTTGGATCTTATGGTCTCGTACTCACCGAGTACTCAGTAGAGTTCCACCATTCCTCTCTCAAGAGGGTGTAGAATTCTAAAAGCGGAAAGAGATCAGGCCCTGGTGGAGTCGATGCTTCTGGATAGCATCAACATTCTATGACTACTGTCCAGTGTGGTCCAGTGGACAGTCTTACAAGACAACTTTCTTTGTCCTGGATTGTTCAACAAATCAGTTTCACTTCTGAAAATCACTGCAGATGACAGTTAATCTGGTAAGGTCACAGTGCAAAGCGATACAATTTGAAAGCAAGGTGAATCCATATATATTATTATTATTGCGGCACCACTGTCTACGCCTAATCCGGATCAAACCTTCACGCATACGGCAATGAAAAGCATACCAATGGCCTTTTGGACATCCTTGTAAGGATGTCGGAGCTGAAACGGGGAGGGATGCGACCCAGTTCTGGGTGATTGGCACTCTGAAACGTCCTAAGACCCCGCATTCCACCGTCCGTCATGTGTTTTGACATTGATCACCTCTCTTCTTTTCCCCCTCGATTGTGGCAATAAGTATGCTTGTCGGATGACCTGCCTTTCATGGTGCTTACTGGATCGGCACATGGCTGGAAAATCTGAAAGCTGTTTTACTAAACACTCCACCGCTGGCTTCATTCCGAGTAAATTGTATACTACTAGAATTGAGCTACATTTGTCATGACCATGGAATATATATTGAGTACCAGTTGCTTCTAGGGCAAATGTGTCAAATCCCTCTCGTGGGGGCAGTGAATGATGAAGACTAGAATGCAAGGGATAAGACATACTGTTGTAAAGGGATGGATATTGTAAGGGGAATTTCTTAAAGATGTGAAGTCATCGGCGGAACTCTTATGCAGGAACGCTGCCTGTAGTCTGTACTACGGAGTACTTACTGAGTAAACCGTGCCACATCCCTTGAGGATCCGTCATGACATACAGCAAGCTAATCAATCATGGCGGTAAGCCAATCGTGCGGGGTCAAACTACAGGCTACTATGGATATGGTTGTCACTTTTCTTATTTCAAGCCAATATTTCTGCAGCTACTGCTACTTACAGGAACTTGTGCAACGCGGTACCTGACCCAGAGTATTCTCGGGTCGGGCTGGATGCTTGTGGTCCCTGCCCGGAAGACTCGGGATGCCCCTCAAATCTCATTATCGTATCAGGTAGCTCGAAATTCTAAGCCCAGACAGAGTGTCTTGCTACGTGAATTAGAATTACTCCATCACAAATATTGGTGATACCCAAGTTCTGTCTTTTCACTCATCTCATATAAATCACGTGATCATGTGTATACCTGAGGCATCAGTTGCCCACCCGCCACTGCCCTGGCGCCGTATCTGCAACGATTTCCGGCACCGCCTTGCCAGAGCTCCGTTGCAACAATAAGACTAAGGAATCTAGGTCCAACTCTCTTTCTGCCTCCCTTTGCTCTCCACCCATTAGCGGTGTCTGAGGAACAACTGGCTTCTACGTTTCTTCTATAATGAATTAAATGAGCAATCTTACCACAAAGTATCACGCTTGGCCGATCCCATACGCGCCCGACCGGACTCGCGTTTTATCGTGATTTTACGGTCGGCTTCCGATAAACGACTAATGTTTCTCAATCGCCGAGTTTGAATCAAGAACGGTCCTCACGAACAATGGCAGATGATTACGAAAGCCCCTCCTCCCCGGAGGAGGCGCCAGTCGAGTCGCTCATTCAGGGGCGTGCGAAGCGAAGCACAGCCGGCCTTCATATGTCAGCTCTCCTGGACGCCGCTGCCGACGATGATCTTGCGCTCTTGTTCGAGGAAGTGGAGGATGACAACGAGTTTGCGATGGATGTGGAGGAAGAAGGGGGAGAAGAGGATGATATGCGCTTCGAGTCTTCCTCGGATGATGAGGATGATCAAGGACCTGAGTCTCGAGCTGACGACATGGAAGGGGAGCAACAACTACAGAAGGAGGAGCGACAAGAGAAGAAAAAAAAGAGAGCGCGAGAAGACCTTCGATTCAAGATAGCCAGCAAGAAGGTGAAAATCGATCCTACTGCTGTGTCTACAGTGCCTACTCCTCGCCCCAAGAAGAAGTCAGAGCGTATCTCATGGATCCCCACGCCGGAAGAAGGGCCCACGCGATCATCCTCTCGTCGCCAGACTATGCAGAACAAGGAACTTACGCATGCACGCCTGAAGGACAGCGAAGAGAAGCGCATCCGCCTCATTGCCACCATGGAGGAGGCAGCTAAAAGGAAGGCCCAGTTCAAGCCGAAGGAGATGACGCAAGCCGAGCGTCTTGCAGAAGCCGAAAGGGTGGAGAGGCATAACAGCAAGAGTCTTAACCGATGGGAAGAAATGGAAAAGAGGAAGGCTGAAGAAAGACGTGCGAAGATCGAGGCCCTTCAAAATCGCCGCCTTGAAGGTCCGGTTATGTCGTACTGGAGTGGCATAGCAACCTGGGTTAATGGTCGCTTAACGCGCATTGGCAAGGTTGATGTAACGCCAAAACCGGAGAAGGAGGATAATAATACACGCAAGAAAAGCAAGAAGACGGACAAAGAGAATAAAATTGTGATAGAGCAAAACCCGACCGAGAATCCTATTGTTGTTGGTTCTGCCACGTCGCAAACAGCCCCTCCTCCCACCCAAACTGAGGGTTCTACGCTACCACAAACATCCGGCGACGGAGAGCCTGCAAAACCGAACCAAAACCCTGAACAGCAGCAAACAAGCTCTGAGCCCACTCAGACCAATGGCGCAATATCCCAAGAGAAACCCGTTGATACACCAGTGGAGGCACCCACAGATACGCCAAAGAAGGCACCCACGAATGAACCCACCGATACGCCAATGGAGGAACCCACCCCCTCTCAGGTGAACACAGAGGCTCCTGCTGCTGCTGATCCTGTACAGCCTGCCACAACTGCAGTCAACGACGAGTCTGCTACAGAAGCAGTGCCAGAATCAGGTTCATCAAAAGTCGAAGATGAAAAGAAAGAGGAAGCTACTGAGACCAAGGCTCCAGATGCAGCTCCGGAAGAGGGCACGTCAGATGAGAAGCCAAATGTACAACAAAAAGACGACACTATACACGCAGTTGACGCTCAACAGCCCACGTCGCAGCAGTCTGGCGAGAAGCCTACGCTAGAATCCGAACAGCAGCCTGACCGAGATCCACCATCTGCGGCCGCAAAGTCCGATGACGCATCGAAGGAAACAGTCCCTGACCCAACCGCAGCCGCTGAAGCTGTATCTGAGCCTGCTAGGATGCAGCAGGAGCTGTCTCCTACTACAGTACCAGATGTTACTGTCGCCCCTTCGCAGACTAACCCGCAGAAGGAGACGTCCAATCAAACACAACCGGGCCAAGAGGCTCCGGAGGTGCATACAGACCAGCCAGTTGTTGTGACTGAGGAAACCCCACAACCGGAGGTTCCAGAGGCCCCTCCAGTTATCGAGCAAACAGGACGAACCCTTACGGTGTTGGAGAACTTTGATGACAAGACCGCCCAAAGTCGCGAGTTCAGTATCTACTTCAACGCAAAGAAACCTCCTAGGCTAACCAGTATGGAATGCACCTATACCTCCACTGCATGCACGAACACATTGGACATGCTAACAGCAAAACAGAAATCTCTTCATCCCTCTGCGTTATTACATCACTTCCCTCGCGCTATCGGGATCCCGAGACCTCCCTGCCCTTCGCAAACTCACATGCTTACAATGAAATCCGACATACGGTGGCACAAAAGTACAGTTGGAGCCCGATGCTGGGATGCTACGTTGGTCCTGTCGGAGTCGCTGCGCGAGGAGTACCGGCGCGGTTCCTCGGCGGCCCTGAAGCAAAAGAAGAAGAAGCAAAAGAGAACGGAAAGGGCGATAAAGGCGCTAACAACGAGGCCACCACTACTACTGACAAAACAGAAAAAAAAAAAGAGAAAGAGAACGAAGCAAAGACTTCCACCGGAGAGGCTCCTCCATCTACATCCAGCCCTTCAGCTGCAGCTGCACCCGCTTCCGCACCCACACCAACAGCCACCCCCGTTGCAGCTACCGTGGGCGATCCAATGGATGTCGATAAATGATTTCCCCTCTTCCCTTCCAGGCTCGACGACCTGGAAAAAAAGACGGAGTGGATATTAGTATTCTATTGCTCCGGCGTCTTTATGTTTCTATGCCAAAGATACCCACTATTACATCTACACCATCGTCTCTAATCACATGGCTCAAAGCATATCATACGTAATATCATACGGACAAACTGTAAAGTAATAAATATGCCTGCCGGGGCGAACTTGATCATATTAAACCAACTATACACCTACTACCGAGCCCATGCACCATGCACCATGCACACCATACCGGCTCACGCCCGCAAACCCCCCAACACTAAAAGCAGAGAAGCAGCGAAGCAGCGAACGAACGCACAGCCCCACGGCCAAAATCCCTCAAAAACCAACCGACCAACCACGGCGTACAGCATTTAGCTAAATTGCAATCCAGCCCGAAATGTCCGTGCCAATGGCACGCGACACCCAGGAGATACAGTAGATAGATAGTAAGTAGTATTTTGTACTTGTGAGACCGAAACACCTTTCCCAGCCCAATCGTTATTGCAGCATATGTGAGACGCCCATTGGCACGGGACATCGATTACACTCCCATCGCAGGTGAACTCTCATATGCTCCTGCACCATGGTGGAAACTGCAGGAGTTGGTGGCGATGTGCATAGTTAGACCCGAACCGTAGGAAGATTTATAAGAAATAGAAGGGAAATAATAAAGCAGGTTGGAAGGAAATCTTACGTGCATTGCAATGATTAATGATTATATTGATTTTATCGCTGAAAGGCGTTAGGAGGGTGTGATATTTACTTATTGACTGCGGTAAAGAATTAACTTGATTGGACAGGAGAGTTTGAACTAGTAAGTACTAGGTGGGTGATACATAATACTAAATTTAATAGATATCTCTCATAGTGATGGCAGTGGGACTGTGTTGCATGGTTTGTGTTACCGTCACGGTCTACATAAACAGATCAGACAAGAATGGAGACACAGGCAAGCTACGTAGTCTGGCCGGGGAGTGGATGTGTAGTCTGTTTTCCCAGTTGGTTGTAAGAGATGGTGCTACCGGAACAATTCATGTGTAGAATAACCTGTCCTGCGAAGGTGTATGTATGTATGATGGTGGGGTTACTTGCGAGAATTTCAAGTGCAGAGAAGGATTCTGGCCAGGTTCGAGGTATCTAAGGGAGAGAGAGGAAGGCTTTTGTTCGCTGTTGATATTAGTGGAACTTAGCGAACACGAGGTCGCTAAATTATGCACTGAAAACTGGATGTGTTCAATAGAGCGTAGAAGGTGGTATATACTCTGCTGCCAATAGTATTCGTCTCCATTACATCGTAATTAGTAGCCAATAAACATCAAATACCCTTGACAAGCATTCTAACGCCTTTACTTCCCTGCCTGGTTGCAGGAATGAACATATCAGTCGCGAACTCTACATCCTCGTTGGATGTCTCAAAGAGCTCCAACCATCCCCCTTTCCCACTCATTTCGTCCTCTGTGCAGCTGTATAGTCTGAAAATTCTCGAGACGCAAATATAGAGTTCCGCATAGGCCAGATTGATACCCACGCATGACCTAGACCCCTTTGTGAAGGACACAAGGTACCTATTAAGCCTTTTACCTTCTTTTTCGGCCTCAATCCACCGTTCCGGACTGAACTTGCTTGGCTCCGGAAAGATGGTGGGGTCATGATGCACGAAAACAGAGTTCATGCTCATAGGAGTCCCCGGGGGGATTATCCAGTCCTTTGCACGCTTCTCGTCATGGAATGTCACTGCTTCATCGGGAGATACACGTGCCAGCCGGCCAACAGAGCCATAGGATAGTCGCAGGCCCTCTTGGATTACGGCAGTAAGGTAGGGAAGGTGCTCCAGCACCTCGATACCGACGCTTGCTGTAGGATCAGGGATGGAAGCGATCAATTCGGCACGAAGGCGGGATAGAGTATGCGGTTGGCTCAGTAGGTAGTATGTGATAACCGATAGAGTCCAAGAAGTGGTCTCAGTCCCGCCGGCTACGAGTATCTTGGCTTCCTGGCCAAGCTGTTCGACACTCTTTTCTGAAACTGGAAGATCCGGATTCGCTAGCAGATCATGGAAAATGGTTTTTGACTGCTTTCCAACCCCTAATCTATCTTTATCGTTCATGATTTGGTGCACCTGGGCCACATTCTCGCGGGTGAAGGACTGTAGTCTGATTAGCAATAAATTTCAAGCTTTGACGCAAAACTAGGTAATTGCAGTAGTACCTGTTCATCCTCAAGCACGTTTGCAACCCTTTAATGCATTGCAGGTTATATAGTTAGTTCCAATGCCTGGTGTGCCCATTTTGCAGAGACACGGATCTAATCGCACTCACGTTGGGCTAATCCATGATACAATCCATGGGGGAATAAGCTGCGCCAAATAGATGAGCCAATGATAGTGCTTCATCCAATGCACAACTTTGCTCATAGCAAGAACGGCCTCCTGAGCTGGCTCACCAAAGTCAGGTTTCTGCAATCTGTCGCGCGAGTGGTTGAAACTGTACTCCATAATGACGTCTACATCTGTGAGTATATGGCCTGAAGGGAGAGTTCTTGTCTTCACCGTCGTCCATACCATTGGTAAACGCAGCATAGGCAATATCCATGCGGACCGGCTGGCCCGTATTCTTAAATTCATCCAAACGTCTAAGAAGTTTGTCGACCTTTTCCCATATGACAGGCTGCAGCCGACGTACACTTGCTTTTGAGAAGAATGGACTCAAAGCGGAACGACGCATGCGATGTAAATCATGGTCTACGGTAGCAAAGGTACTGTTGGGCGCTCCAAATTGGTGTTCAAATTGGGGGTTCAAATTTCTCTTCTTCTTGCCGCCGGGTGCATACAACTCATCATAAAAGGTCGATGTTTCGATATGAAGCTCTTCGGGGTTGATGCGAACAATGGGCCCCTATACATTTTAGTGTCACTAGATATAGTGATTTTCGCAACGAGGTGTTTCTGCTCACGTAGCGCTTATGCATATCCTTGATTTTGAAGATATACCGGCCACCACATATTGCATCGTAATAAAACTCATAGCTGAAGCGCTCAGTCAGCTTCGTCATCCGCTTCTCTCTTCGCAGTGTCCACATATCGAAAAATGGAATACAGAACTTACTACCAAGTCACAGCTGCCAGCGGAGGGCCTGGGAAGGCCGCAATGGGGCTAAGGTACAGGCGATACACTATGCAGCCTATCACGTAGGCAAGAAATACAGTTAGAGTTATACTAGCCAAGGATAAATAGCTGAGCTCCCCAAACAAGGTCATTTTGAATATAAAGTCGTCAGGAAAGATCGTTGAACCATTTGTATGTTCAGGTAGGATGATGTGAGAAAGGTAAAGAGGGGACGAGATGGTGTGAGGGGTAATGGCCACTAGCAGTAGTCTCAAAGGTCGGCAATTACTGGCATCTGCTATAAACGGCTCCGATGCTTCCTTTTTGAGCAATATTCCGCACGCGGAAGACGTGTCATGATAGCTCACAAACGCAACGAAGTTATTGCCGAAGAGCGCATGTTGACATGTATCAAAGTCACATACAAACTTATACAATGCTGGGCAGAGATAGTAGTAAAAGCTAGCGTTTGCCCTTATCAATTCTCTCAGAATTGATCTTGTAGCTTTCAGAGATAGGACAAGATGGTTGAGATTGCCAACCATACAATGCTACTGGGTATTCTTCAATACCATAACGTTATTCTTATGGTGAACATACAGGAAATAGACCGTAAAGGTAATGACATTATCCTCATATGTCTTTTCTTTTGACAACGAGACATGCACAATCTTACGGAGTAAGCTTTATCCATATGCCTACCCCTCCTTCGACTTTGTGGGATCTTATCAGCTTCCAATGCTAATTAACTTCTTGTTCTTGGCTCGAATCTGGTTAAGTTCGTGGAAATTGCGGTGTAGAAAGTTTGAAACTCGGAAGTAGCTACGGTATAACAACCTTAAAAATTGCATCCAGCGAGTCATTGTTTTCGATAAGTGAGATAAGAGGCATGAATGAGCGTCCGTGTGCAAATGGGATAGCTACTCCTTTCTTCCCTGATGCGGTAATGTCGCATGTGATAGTAAGTAACAAGATAGGAAGCACGTATGATAGGTCTACAGACTGAATGACTCGGGTTTAATCAAGGCAGGAGCGACGATCGCATGGTGAGAGTAGCATTGTCCAGCTCCTGTTGAGTTATCCAATTCAGTTCAGTTCGCATTAATGACCCGCGAAAAGTGCATCCGTTGGGTAGAGCAGATACATCATTGTACAGGCTTCAGAGGGGACACAACGTTTGCCCCGGATGTAGTAGGTATCTACAGGGCCGTGGAAGCACAAAATGCAACAGGCCAGATTGGACAGACAATTGGACATGCAATACTCCGTAAACGTGTACGCAATGTGGGAATTTAGAATCTTCACATCCATTCTAGACTATCGAAGGCAAAACGTCAGCTAAAAGGACCTAGCCTTGAGGGGAGAGAATGGACGATCCTTTTTGCTCTGTTGATAGCAGTTCAGACTCACCGCCATGGTCGAGACACTGAAGGTGTATGTGTGCGCCTATCAAATTATGGAGCCCTAGATCCAGAATATTCAGTTCAGATGGTGATGTGTTGCGGCAAGGCCGAAAAGGGGACGATCCCTGGAACGAGTGGGTGGGAATCCCCATCCGTCATCGAGTTAGTAACATCCAATCTCAACGTCGGATGTATAAATATTTGCTAATGGATGAAGAAGCTTGATCCACCAGACGATCGAGAACGTGTCACTTCTGTTATTTTCTACAGATGCAGAATCCATTATTCACCAGTCAGCACTAAAACAACTACCTGTCGGTTTCCACTGAGTGTTCTCCGGATAATCGGTCTGTACTAGTAGATAGTCTGCGCTGTTGTTGCCAGTCAGTCTGTGACATTGCCCCACTATTATTGACCCCATCCCCAGTTGGCATCATAGACTGGTTTGAACGTTGCAGTCACTGATGGCATTATAGTAGAGCTTTGTTCAAACCTTTGCTGCCGTGTGGGACTGCCGAAATATGGATGGAATATTTTTTTTGCCTCAGAGAATTGTCTCATCTATTTCTGACCATCGCGGCTTTGCTTCGCCTCATGACGATAGCCACCTGAGCAGGCCATTATCGGCTCCGCCGACTCTTCTTGCTGCCTAGTTTCTCCCCTTCTCCTCCTTTGCCTCTCTCGATTACAGGCTAGCTAAGAAAAAGTAAAACTAGTACTCGAGGCATTTATGGCGTCACACAATATAGGCCATCCCGAAACGACAGAAGGCCATTGAATTAACTCCGGGTCGGCATTTCCTTGTTTGCTAGTCAAGTTTAACTGCCTCCCTGGCATCCAGTTTCGAATCACTGCTCCCGCACTGCGATAGGGCTCACTCATTGGATCTAACGGCGGGTGATCCTGCCGCACAGATCCAACTAGGGGGGCGGCGCTGCAGAAAAGGACTGAGCTCTGGATGGAAAAACAGTCCATGTGTAAGCCTGTACGTTAAGCATTGGTTGGTTCCCCTTGAGTCCGGCCACCAAGGCACTGTCTAGACCAGCAGATGTGGAGCTGGGGTGTTTTACAGCTGACGCTCCGTGTTGACGATGGCTGCCCGATTTGAGGTGACAAACTGGGCTGGTCGGCAGTGATGATCAGACCTCAGAGCCCCGCGTAGCAGAGATCCAGCCAAGCCAAGACGACGACATGTCATTCGCATGAGACGAATGGTAGAGGTCCTCGTAGTATTCCTTCACCCCGATAAGCGTGGTTCGGTCGGTTAAGGAAAAAAAGAGATCGGAATCTCAAGGAAAGCCAAATGAGGATTCGAGGGGCAATGGAAAGGGCTTTTATCGTTCCGGTCTCTGCACAAGATGGACGCGGCAATGGTTACCTTATCGCGATGATACCCCGCCTGGACATAAAAAGAGACCCCAACACTAGAACACTGCAGTACTGTACTTACGCACGAGTACCATATAAGAACAACGAGAGAAAACAACGGATTCGGAGGGGACGAAAAATCTGTTTGTGTGCTTCGTCTTCCATCCGCAATACACTCCCTACCGGATCCAGAGTGACAGCTAAATATAGTCTGTCCACAAGGAGAAGTCAAAAAGTCGTTCCGGCGGAGCATTGCAACGTTCCCCAGTCATATACTCCGTACGCGGAGTGGATTAGGTCATCTATGGGTGGTGAGGTAAGCCGAATCTGTTGTGTGCTTTCCCCATTCAGAAGGGACGATTGCGCGTTGTGCTGCCTGCCTCAGGCAGCAGACGGCAGTCCGGTAGTCTAGAACTCCCTTCCCCCGCCCAATCATGGCGTGACTCAACTGAGTCTCGCCTTCCCTCCCGGCCCTGACGTGCTCGGGCGTCACCCAAAGTGGTCACGGTAACTAGTAATGGGCCGAATGGAGGGACACCTTGGGGGAGGGGGATGTGAACAGTGACCAAGGCTAACCTAATCCCCCTCATCATGCTCTCCCCATGTAGGTGGAACAGAGTTCTAGAATTTTTGTTGCTTGAATCGATTTTCCGGCTCTGGTTATATCTACCGGGCTGCTCGCTTTCTCTGCCCTTGGTGTTCTTATCGTGAGAGACGCAAACAGCCTTGAATCTTTCGACTACCACAACAAGAAGACTCCTCGGACTACCTCTTAAGTATTCTTATACAATTGATTTACCGTCCCGGTGCCTGTGATCTGGTGCTCCCTTCGGTATCCCTCTTTCAGTATCGCCTAATTATTCTCCGAGCGATTTTTCTGTTTTCCAGTCGGCTGCACGATACTCTCATCACCGCCGGTCAATAATCCCGCTTAGCATTACTTACTCCCGCCCTTTTCGGTATCAGGCCCATTGCACGTGCGGTGTACCTTGGAGAAGACGGCACACTGGTTTATAAGAAAGGGGCCAAACTGAGAAAATAGAACAAAGAGGGATTTTATCGCAGAAAGAAAGGGGCAAGAAAAACAGAATTTTGCTATTCCTTTGGTATGTATGTCCCCCTACCTAGCTATAATTATCCTTTTCACTTTTTCTTTCGTTTGTCGATTACCCGTTACCCGTTTGTTACTTTGTTGTCCCTTATCTCTCCCCACTCAGAGGCCGGTGATAACGCTCCCTCAGCCGGCCACCAACTTCTAGTAGTACTACTAGTGAGACTGGTTTCATTTGTGACCTATCTGACCATTCTGGTGCCACAGCAGATACACACAGAGCAGGAAAGGAAAAAAGCTTATCGTTGTTACTGTCATTACAAAGAATTTAGCGTTCGCCCGCTACATATTTGCCTCATTGCCAGGGTTTCCTCAAAAATAAGAAACCACTCAGGCGTGTATTCCCTTGCCGTTTCGCTCAAATCATTCGGCACATGCCATTTCGGCTGAACGAGGACGAGGCATTATTACGAAACTATATCATCCAGTACTACCGTGCGAGACCATTGGTCCAACCAATTGTGCAGTTGGATCCCTGCTAGACGCAAATCCCTCATACTTTCTGACCCCATAGGGGCAAGCTCTCGTGCTCCACAACTGGCGCGGTTCGGCGCAAGGTACCATCGCCGAATTATTTTCAGATAGATGGTTTTTCTTCTGGTCCAGTGTCATATTTATATTTAACCAGATCCTCACCGCCATCCATGACTCAAAGCAATAACCATCATCGCCGCACTCCCTCGGGCTCCAATGTCCCTAAGCTGAGGAACTCTCGACCGGCTTTACATCGGAGAGGCACATCCTGGGTCAACCACTCCATATCCAAACTAGGCTCTGGACAAGTCACTAAGCAGTTGGAATTGGAGGACGACCGGCAGCCCGAGATGGCGGCTAGCTTTCTTAACTTTTGGTATGTGTGTTATGCTATGCTATCTCCTAGTATCCTTTGTCCTGCCTTCTCCCCAGCATGGTTGCTTTTGCCAATCCTCGCTCATCGCCGTTAACCTTGTAGCTTATTCCCCTTGCATATCAAATGATCGCTTATCTTCAGAATCGAAGCTAACTGATCTACAGCGCCATGTGCGAAAAGCAGATAACAGTGCCTGACAATTCCCTTTTATATTGTAGTGAAAGGTATGAGACTCCTTATCGCGCCACAGCCTTGACATGCACAGCCTCCACTGTTGGTTTAAATTCCAACAAGTTCCCCTAGCCCTTCCGTTGTCTCGTTGCTCTCTCGCTCTCTCCTTTCATTCATTTTCTTAACACATTATCTCTGCAGTTGTCGCCGCAAAGACTCCCACAAACCGCTTTCGGCTTCCTTCTCATCGAACTCCTCCATGTCTTCCTCAACAACTCCACCTGCCTCTCCTCCTATGTCTCCTCGAATGATTGTTGCACCCATGACTCCTACGAAAGGTGCCGCCAGATCCTCGATCTCCAGGATACCCAGCGAATGGAATGATTCCAAGACGGATCAGGATCCATCCGAATGGAAGCCAGTGATACCTATGGGGTCCGGTGCAAGTTCTCTGGCGTCATCGGAAGCTTGGAATTACCTGTCCCAGTTTCACCGTGATGACACTATGATGCCTGTTCGGCGCCCGCGGTTTGATCACCGCAGTTCGACAAGCCTGTCGGCACTCTGGAGTGCTACGGGGCCTGTTCCACCGCTGATGCACACGCCGTCCACAGCTGCATCGTCGGTGAGCAGCAATGGGTCGGACTATATGAGCTACGTGCATGACTCGGCCTATCGTCCACTGCCCCCTCGGCACAAGCCCCAGATTTCTGGTTGCTCAAGCGCCACAAAAGGGCTCGACTTGGTGGTGCCCCACGTGCATGTGAGTGTGGAAGATGTGCCCGCCGTTAATATCTCCAACGATGGGTCGATATTCCCCGCTAGCAGTGCTCTATGGGATGAGAAGCCCATTGAAAAGACGCCCACTCTGAAGACGGCCTTGGGTTCACCGAACTCTGACATACCTGCCCGTTCCCTGGAGGAGACTTCATGATCATACCGTCACAATTCTGACGCTTTCCAAATCGACCAAGGTTACACATGGTAGTCGAAATTACGAGCGCTCAGATGCTGTGCACTTGGATCATGAGATGGGCTAGCCTCAGGCATTATTTTAATTTTCTTGTTCTTCTGTTTTCAGTCATTCTGGTATATGCAAATATTGAGCGGGAAAAACACAACAGATGCATTAGAGTCAGCACGAATACTACGAAGCGATGGATGATGGGTGTGGAAACGGCACCTTCCTTTTGGACATTGAGCTCAGCGGATGCTTAAATAGATTCTTAATACCACACGGTCTTTGGGCATATGTATAGACAAGCGGGTGTTTCTATATAGAACTGAACAAGACTCGGTTATTTTGTGACGATCTACCTATCAACTTGTGATCTACCACTAGACCGACCTAGGGGTATTTGTGTCTGTCACATACTAGGTGCAGCCTTAATTAGCAGCCGTTGCACTGCTGCCAAGACTAACAGTACTGCCGAACCTGCCGAATGCCCCGTATACTTGTATAACTGACTAATCACATACATGAATACGGGTGTGTCTTGTTATGCATTGAACGAAAAAAGAAGATTGACACTACTTACTTGCAGCGCCTCATTTGCTATACACTCGTCATACAGACAGCTTGGCTGGCGAATAAGTTACAAAAATTATGCGGTGCAAGTCATACAATCTCTGGAATCTTAGTATAACATGCGGCTCACATCCTAAAGGAACCTCTCCCCCACCTTCCTCTCTGCTCCTGATATATATATACTACTACTACTACTCTAGCATAGCTACTTATTTAGCATCATAGCCCGAATAAAATCTTGTTCGTGGCTGTGCCTCGTTTGTATTTACATACTCTCCATTATATCCAATATACATGGAATAGATACGCCTAATTTTTGGGGGCCTTACAATGGTAAGGTTGCGGTGGCAAAAGAGCAAACAAGGAACGACGAAGAAGATGTTAGCCAAGCAACTGAATACATGTGTTTATCTAGCTGCAGGAGTGTCTGCAACCGGTGCAGCTTCTGCTGTGGATTAGCAGGTGACGCCATTATCCAGCGGTGACCGGATCTTTAGCCTACCATCAATCTCTTTCATCTCTTGATGTCTGCTAACGGCCTGCATTGAAGAATCCAACATTTGGACATTGGTAACCCGCTTACAAGCGAATGCTTTAGCATTAAGGTGTTTCTGGGAACTCAAAATAGGTACCGGAACTTAGTAGATGAGTCCACTGTGGACACAAATTCTGCCCTTCAAACTGAAGCTTGAGATCCTCAAGCCTAGAACAGGCAAATTGAAGCGAACCTCGTATGATAAAGACCTCGTAAATAAAGCAGATTCATTCGTCAGACTAATAGCAAGTTGCTACAGAGCTAACGTACCAAGGTTAGTTTCGAGAGCTTTCCAGGGACGGCAAGCACATTTGCTCTGCCAGCCGGAAATCATTTCCATCCATCCCCCGTCAAATGAACTTGCGAGCGTCCCGTCGTTTCTTTTCTTTCCTTCTTGCCATCAGCCCGTTGTCAAATTCTGCATCGAATGAGCCTCAGAAAGACTTTCATGAAGGTTTCTCGTCCCTTGTATGACGTTTACGTATCCGTCTCCCCTGTCCATAAACTAGATCCAGCTCAGGGATTTCACCTTCTGCTCCCCTAGCTTCTTTACCAAACCTCCCTGTTCTGGCTCCAGGCTGTTCTCGTCAGAGAAGAGCTAGGACCCAGGTATTTCTCATCTTTTCTCGTCAATACACGCGGATCGAAGTACCTCTCATGTCTCTCGATATCGCAACAAGGTCTGCCCTGGTGCGCCCATGAAAAGTTGGACGGACTCACAGCAGGCTAGAATGTGGCTGTGATGAGAGTAGAACGATGCAAACTCTGTCATTGCACTGAAGGACCCATTACTGACTTGTCTGGACATGGATCAGCCTAGATAAATAACTAGTTGTGAAGAGGTTCGAGGACTCTACGTCGCTCTCTGAAGGCTACAGAAAGCTCGACCAAGACCTAGTCTCTGTCGACAGATATACTTATCACTACCTGTGGGATTGGACGCTATGACTATCTCTCTTTCCGTGTCCAAACAAATCGCGATATTCGAACTTGTCTAACCTAGCGCTGACGAAGATTCAGAGAGTCCGCAGAGCAGATGTGCCAATTTCCACTTTCCCTTCGACCAACGTACCTCAGCAGACCCGATCACCTATGACTTCGACAATACGAGAAATTGGAGATACCTTGAATACCTACATCTGCAGCTGTATCACTGTGGGGTCATACCCCATCAAAACCGAAGGCTGCTTACACAGATTGATCCACTCGGCCGGGTTTGTCCCATGGTCGGTGATGACAGGAACAGATGCATGTTTGATTACATGTCGCCGAAGAACAAGGAACTCAGTCGAATGGAAGTCCAGACACAAAGAATGAGGTATAAGATTGAGTGGGAAACTATGCCACGATCGGCTAAACTTGGCTTGTTGGTAAAGGCAACAACAACTGAACTTTGCTCTATGTGAACTACGACGTTGCCCAGTGCACAACCTATCCGCTTTATATATCCAAATACGGCGATTGGTCGAGATCCAGAGCTCCTCTATCTCAAATACAAGGAGTCTATGTTGATATTAACACTCGCAGAAGAAGACAAGACGGTTTAGCGATCGATAAATCTCAAAAGTTGAACTAGCACCGGCGAACGACTTTGCTTGGACACGATAGCAGCGCACGAATTATGATGAAATGCCAGCACTAGGGTTTGAAAAGCTAGGATTTATTGCAATGCGGAGTGGACGAGAAGGTGCTTGGCTAGGTGCGTCGCGGAAGCACATCCTCTCTGACGTGACTAGGGCTGCATTTGTCTACTCGGCACAGAAACGAAGAGCTACGGTATCTGACAGTAACAGGCGTGCTGCAACCGACAAAAGCCACGCGAAAAAGGTCGAAATAGGCCAATATGACAACCAAAATGTGATAGGAACTAATTCTTATTGCCCATAGTTTGATAGCATCTGTGCATCTATTAAGCGGACGCAGTGTGTCGTCGAAGGGCCATCTGCAGTCAATGTTGCCCAATGTACCGGCTACCCTACGCACGCGCTACTCTTCCAACTACGAGCCTCCGAGTCGAAAACACCCCAAGTCTACGAACTATTTACCGAATCTACCCACACTACTGGAATATCTGCAGTGACGAACATGCCTTAGACACGAGCCATTTTCCTTCTCAAAGTCGAACATAATACACACACTACAAGCAAGGATTGATTTATGACTGACTTCTCAATACAACACATTGCAACATAATGTACATGCCCAGGGCGCCGGATTATGGATACTTCTCGAAGGACGGCACAAGAAACCAGATAATCTCTATTGGAGAAACATCGACTGATCCTGAACATAAAATGGTGGATATGTTGGTTATTTTCAATCGTCGCCGCCAATAATGTCATCAGGAAGAATGTCATCAGGGAGACTGTCCGCAAAGCCCCCCGCATTATCATTATCGAGGCAGCACATGTAGCAACCCAATTGTGCTTGCCACTGTCATAACAGTTAATGAGGGCCTTATGCCCAGCATCAAGGATGTGCTTACCTCCGGTTTGCTGCAGGGGAGTTCGGAACTCTTAGGGAGGCATGCGCCCGTGCACAACTTGTTTCCAGTATCAACACCCTGGGAACCTGTCTGGGCATAGACATGAGATGCGAGGAGGGCGAAAGCCGTAACGAAAAGATTGGAAAGCTGCATCTTGCTAATTTGATCAAATGAGTGGCAGTCTGAAAACGAAGGAGTGGACACCGCGCAAGTTCGGCAAGAGGATAGAATCAAGCAAGCAATATCATGCAGGCGATCACTTGCATGGGTGGCAGCGAAACGTGAGTTGCTTTATAAGTGCTCTATTTCCCCTTGCTATCTGCGAAGCAAGGGGGGAGCTTGCACCTGTTATTACTGTGTCGCGTCCCCATGCTAAAAGCTTAGGAAACAAGGCCCAAAGAATGCTGCTCACCTATGGGCATGGATTCCAGGACGACAGATTTTGGTATGCTCTTCATCAAGAAGTCAGAGCAGAGCAACAAGATGTCAACAACATCGACTATGGTCTCTTTCTTTCCAGAGCCCCATCAATCTTTATTATGTTCCTGGAAGGGCTACAGATCACGTCTATTATCTTTCATTAAATACCAATATCCTGCTAATAGCTTAATAGCGTGTGGCCATGCTTCCTACTTACAGCATGTCTCACATTCCCAGCGGAAGGGCTCACGCGCCACGCATAAGGGGCATAACTATCCTTACAGGGATAAATTATCCGGAGCAAGGGAAATAACAACACACTTACTAGCAGTAGAATTCATACTACCCTTCGGAGAAAGACACTAAAGTAAGTACAAGTAAAGGTTATGTAATAATGTCAAATGTCATGCTCAAACAGCATCATTCACTACTGCCTGGGAGTTTAATTTTCCGCTGATACAAGTCCTCGCTATTTTTGACTAAACTATATAGGGCATATGAAACTTTGGGAAGTGCACATATATACATGGGCAGTAAAAACCAAGTTGTGTCATGATTATCACTGACATGATATGTATGATTTAACTACACAGCAGTTCTATCACTAAACGATTACGTGAAGAAAACTTGATGTCCCTGTCGACGTGTTTAGACCGCTCGAGCTAATCCAATAAAGGTAAAGTACTTTCTTCAGGGCAGGAATTACTAAACCACGTGTAATCCTGTTTTCACAAACCATCTCCTCTAATCCACACCAAAGAGTGTGATGAACAAAATTAAAGGGGGTGGCCCACAAATTCTGACATGGTAAGATGTGTGGACATTGCACCAGTAGTCATCTTACCCCTGAGGAGTTGTAGACCAGGTATAGACAGACAGGTGGCAATTACCCGCAGGGAATTTCTTCAGTTAGCCAGGATCGGCTCGGATATGCCCCATCTAAGTTGATGATGACCTGCATATGCAAGCTTCAAGTGTCTTTCCTGGGTAATATCACCCCGGAGGACCCTGCATGAGAGGGGCTGAGGCGAACTAGTTGCATATATTCGTAGCCTGTACGAAGTAGTGAGAGGATGGATATACAGTAGCATGAGATCGGCATATACTCCTCCGTAGGCTGCATAACCGGTCCCAAAAAATGGGCTGGCAGATTCCACAGTGTTCCGGAAAAATTATCCGGAGGGCAGGCTATGGCAGCAGGCTCACAGAATGGTGCCAGCACATCTGGCTGAGACTGGGCCACAGAGTTCCGCCTCGAGACATGGTTCAGTAGAGGGCTGACGAACTTCCAACGACCGGAGCCGAGTAGATACCTGCTTGTTGTTGCTGCTTTCCTTGAGCTCTTGGTTATTTCAGGTCGAAAATGGCCAGTCAGCCTAGAAGGCTTTCCGTTGAGAATGGGCCTTCCAACTCGAGCACTGCAGTCTGCGCGAGGCACTCTTGGGTTCCTCACTGCTGGCGATAAATACGCGGAAGAGCGCCTTACCGGTATACCTTTGGACGCCACCGGATTGAAACGCCGACGAAGATCTGTTGTTGACCATTAGTTTTTGCACTTTCTGGATTGCAACCTCTTTTAGCATGTTCAAAGTCTGCTGATCAAGCGAAGTCGACAAGTCTTCATCCATACAAGTCATGTTTTGCATCAGCTCATCTGCAAAGTCATAGAGAGATGTTGAGTGCGAAAGTCCGCCGGCATTGCGAAGACAGCACGGATCCTTTGAGCCATTAGGTCAGAACCGATGCAAACTTCTCGCACTTATCCTCTCTCAGCATGCCCCTTGGTTGGTAGCCTGTAAGCGTTCCCAGAATGCATGACCTGGTTTTCCAAGCTTTCGGGAGATGACTTCGGAGGCGTTCAGTAGTTGCCCAATGAGGATTCCTGGATATATTTTCCTTCGCTAATGGGCACTCACCTCGGCGCTAGAAACCACCGGTTCGTCTGGTTGTTGCTGCCCTTGCCCTGCTCGCTCCGCCCCCCTTTTCTCTCCAGGTAGGTATTCCTCATCTTCTCCAGGTTTTATGGTTGCGTTTTCTAAATTGCCAGTGCCTAACCTGAAGTAGAATCCGCGAATGTGATTGATCTACTAGAGAGACAGAAAACCGATTGGCAAGCGAAGACTATCTCACTTTCGACACAAATTTCTGGCTTCTGCAAAACTTTGCGCTTGTGCGGATAATACTGAGCGAAAGCTCGCCTTCCTGCATGTGGTTTCATCAGAGCCGGAACATAGTCTCTTACAGTTTGCTCTTACCTCTACTTCCGAGACGACTTGCCCCACGCCCACAATGGCCAGTGTCCTCATGGCGGGCAGTGGGACTTGCCGTCGTTGCGAGTCCGGTCAATACCCAGAAGTAGAGCAAGCCGGTTTCTCATACCATCTTCCGAACTACTACAGCAGCCTGCCCGCCGGTGGAGCGCCAGAAAGAACCTTGGCAAGTCCGGACAATCTGTTAGGTCGGACCCAATGCCTTCGATGGATGCCTTGTCCACTGAGATGTTGGCATTCAAACCGGACAAGGCGTGCCAAAGCGCAAAGCTTGATATGCAGTTGCTTGGAATAGCACCTTTCCTCTGCTGCTATCAGTATCACCCAAACATTCCAGACTCGATAGACTGCACCACACCCAGCATTCAATCGGTGAGGCCTCTGCCCAATGCTGGTGCCCGAACCAAGAAGCCAGTATTGGTTGTACGGATCCAAAACAAGACGTCGCACATGGTACTTTTGATGGAAGCGTGTCGGACGGAGTTGTACATTAACAGACCAGACGTCCATGCTAAAGCGCACTAGTTCCCGTGACGTAACTCGACATATGACAGCATAATCATTCGCTGATCCAACACATGAACGTGATTGACGATTGCAATACGAGCGAGAAAACTATCCTGGAGTCACACAACAGGCGGTAGGCATATATAATGAAGTCCTGAGCACCATGCGTATCTTATGCAGACTTGCAACGAAGCTATAGGTCTGATAGATGCATGCTCATCGAGATGAGGCAATCGAAAAATTGACGCTAGATCTGCACGTTAAGTCAAGCCAGACTACGAATCTTGGCGAAGATGTTTCCAAGATAACGCGGCAGATTCCCCTAGATGCGCATTACGAGCATACCAGAACGATGGGCTGCTCGCGAAAACGAGCCGAGGTGCCATCACTGCGCCCAAAGCCTAATGGTTGGAAACTAAATGACCCATCGTCCTGTGGTATCCCGTTTACCTTTATCGCCGACGAGTATTGAGCTTGACTGAAAGGCACTTCTGGATTTCATTCGACAATCGGAATGACTGGGGCAAGAATCCAACTCTCATAGGAGACACTTCACATGTGTGAAACTTGCTTGCAGTTGGAGAGTACATTGGAGTTTTTTGACGCCTTCATCGTCACTGGATGTGTCGAGCGAAGCGAGGCAAATTGCGTAAACTCGGCCATACCTGCGAGCAGAATGCTCCGAGGACTGACAAACCAGCTATGCCGTGAGTTTGTGCCACATCGAGAATTTGCCAGTATATATGGGAGTAGCCAAACCCGAAGACGCATGTGTGTCTTGATACCATTGTTGTACCCTCAGCCGCTACCAGTGTGTTCCCACCGAAGACAAACAATCGCCGTTCTCTTTATGTTGACAACAAAACGCAACGCGGGACCGCTGAAAACTTAGATGATGTGATCCTGACGATACCGAACTTTGAATGCAATTCTCCTTCTCGTTGCAAGGACGATCTTCGAGGAACTTGTCGCGATGAAGTCGAGTTCAGGAGGCGATTCTGGTTCTCGGAAGGTACGATTCTACTTATTCTTCGTCATCAGTGTGCAGGTCTGCGGGAGAAAAAGGAGTTGATGTGACGCCTGTTCCATGATTGTCAATTTGAAGTTTCCATAGAAGCCAGCTCTTCTTCCAGGCCGTGAAGCATTTCTCCAGTCAACGGGGCTAACACAATAGCCACAAAAGCCGGTAGCGGCTGTCTGCTGTCCTGGAGCCAGGTTGCTGCATCGCAAAAACTTCCCGATTATGATACATGATATTGTAGGTATAAAAGATCGGCTTTGAAAAGATCGGACAATCTTGAAGAGAAAAAGAAAAGAGGGAAGGATAGTGACCTGGTTGACGTATAGTCACGGCACCAGATGTTCCAGCGTGCACTACAGAAGCGATGTTCCCCCGATTGGCGGCGGAGACCAGAGGGAGCGAGGATTGGCTGGGAACTTTCTCCGCGAGCACAGTACCAAAGGTTGCCAAAACCAACTAACAGGGCTAACCTGACAGTGCTCTCTGTTTTGCGGGTAGCTTTATTCCATGGTTCTCGACTGGCCCGCTCGGCGAAATGTGCCTGCGGATAACAAAGTCGCCCGCAAAGTGGTCACATATGGTGCTGGACTCATGGGGTGCCATCGAGAGAGCAACCGTGACCGGTCACGACAGCACAATGATGATCCTTTCTGGTCTTTGCCTCTGCAATACCGTCCTATGGCTCCTCAAGGGCCTGTGATCGATCTGCTGAACACCCTAATGAACAGACTTGGCCAATAGTTAATCCCTGTTGGGGTGGCTTAGGTCAGGATGGACGCTTCCCCCCCTTCCCAACCCGACAGCTGTCTCTTCCTAGCCTCAGCTATTTTCTCTCAATAATTCCACCATTAAGCGGAAGGTTCTTGTTGGGCCACTAGGCGGCAATACCCAAGTGCGTGGTCAACCACTGCATCAACAGCCTGAGCATATCTTGCCTCCACTGGTAGCTCGGCTAAGCATTTGGAATCGAGAGGCACCCATATTACGGAGTACACCTGTCACCAGATCGACGGATTTCCTTGTCTTGTGGGGCACGGTTCAGCCTGGACCTTCCACGATATCAGTCGCCACTTTCCTTCTCTAATCTGATCCTTATCGCTCCTGCAACATTATAATATACACTCCACCGTCGAGCAGGCATCTCGACGAAAATCAAACGAGGGGCATCTCCATAGGTTGGGATTCGAGACTTCCGCCTCTGCAGACAACAGGATGAGACAAGAATACACTGGCTCGTCACAAAATGGCGATCCCAGGTAGGTACCTTGTTGTTAAGAACCTTGTTTCTTACCCGTATCCTCTTGACAGCATCGGTTGACTGTTTGATTGTCAATAGTCGCCGCAACCAGAGCAGTCAAAGCGCGCGCCCCGATCCTCCAGACGACTCTTCTCAAACATCTGACCGACTCGCCGAGGAACTGGTTTATTACCGAAGCTTTCTCGAACAGCTATTAGGATTAGTGCGCAACGGTGATCAGGATACTGTCAACCAGATGGTCTCCATGATTCGTTCGGATGCATCTCACCAGCAAATTCTGGCAGCCTTGTCTGAGAACTCCGCCAACGATGACCAGGCTGCCCAAGGGGCCCGTGGTCGGAACAATCACAATCCGAACTGAATATCTCCAACACTGTTGTTCCTCGCATGCCCAGCAGGGATTGTCCGCATGACGCATGATCGTTTGACATGGTCTTCACGAGGTGTCCTGGTCCCCTTTGAACGCAGATGAGGGTGGTGGGATACAGCTAGACGAGTCATTCGTATATCTTTCTGTCTAGTATCATATTAGTCGGCTTTTTTAAAGACAAGGAAAGTCTACCTATCTATCGTCTCACAAGCCATCCCAGAGAGAGCCACTACCGGCAGTTGAAATAGCTGCCGTGTGCTGAGAGAACGCTGTGTACGATCCTTAAGACCAGCAGATGTCTCGTACCAGGTATTGTGTTGCAGTCAGGCTCTTGTTGCACCAATCTCTATCAGTTAGCATACTGTATACCTAGAGGAGCCATGGTAACCGTCCCTATGGTCATAGCTCGCTTTTCCAATGGAGGCAAGCCTTGGATGCACCGCTATCCATTCCTACCCCCTACTCTTTTGGCTTAGCATAGCCATGTGCTAGCTGGGTCTCCGAATGCCCACTCTGGTGAAATAGGGTGCTCGATGGGCATAACCGACTTGGCTGCTTCCTTCAGAGAAGCTGCATGAGGAACCACCTAATAAACCCCAAACGGCACCCATGGAAGCCGTGACTTGCCCAAAACAGCTATACATACCAACTGTCGCACTTAGTTATCGAATTCAAATTTTGACAATAAGAACTAATGAGTTGAGAAGGTGATTGAGCGATCACCATTTGTAGAGAGGCAGTAGTAGTCGCTGCTGGTGATGTCAAACGGAGCTAAACCCCCTTGAGCGTCCAACCAACAACATCCTTGGCTGCATACCATGGTGGTGCCTTCTCAATACGGAGCTCCTCTTGCAGTGTCTCATTAGTCTTCCCCCACCTATGATACCAACTCCATCCCAGTAATGTGCTGATACTCTGTCTACTTTCTGCGTTCATCTACGGAATTATGTTATGACGGACTACGGTGCAAAGATGCCGTTTCGAGTGCTTCTTTACTTCCATCGCGACCCACCATGACCTCACTTCCAGTCTTAATAGCTTTTGTGCAGTCCGACATCAACTGCTTTTATTTCTTCATCTAACGACAAGATGGTGTCAAAGCGACCATGTGGTGATGACTACATTGAGAAAGAGATATTAGAAATTTAGAAGCAATCCGAATTATACTTTACATAGATTGTGTAATAATACCAGAAGTGAATAAAACATGTCGATTTGCTTTCATAGTCGATATCCGAGAGTATTAGCATGACTACCGATATCACAAGTGGAGTGAATTGGAGCATCATGTATCTATGAATCTTGTCTATGACATCAAAGCGCCTAAGGCGTGCAACGGCCTGTGAAACGAGGATACAAGGAGCAGTCGCGAACGGTATAACGAGCACACAACCAAGCCAGGAAACGTTCGAGACCAAGACCGTAACCACCGTGAGGGGAAGTACCGTACCTATGTTGTTGAATTAGATTAGTCATACGTCTCTTAAAGTGTATTCATGGCGGAGAGAGGCTCATGAAGGCTTGACTTACTTGCGCTGGTCGGTGTACCAGTAGTACGGGGAAGGATCCATGCCTTCGTGCTTGTAGGCGGCCATGAGCTCATCCCAGTCATCCATTCTCATACTACCACCGACAATCTCACCAACACCAGGCATGAGAACGTCCACACTCTCAGTGACACGGCGGTCTTCGACATCCTTCTTCATGTAGAAGGCCTTGATCTCAGCGGGGAAGTGGGTTAGGAAGATGGGCTGGTTGATGATATCGGTCATCTTTCTCTCAGCAGCTTCGGCAATGTCATCGCCGAACTCGTGAGGCTTGCCCTCCTCGTTGGGAATATCGTGTTCCCGCAGCCATTCAATGGCCTCAGAGTACTTCATCCGCTTGAAGGGGCGGCTAGGGGGCTTGAAGTCGGGGTTGAGCTTCTCAATGAGGGCCTTGGTGGCCGGCTCAGCCAGAGTCAGATCAATAACACGGCAGATAACGTTCTCAAGGTGATCGAGGAGGTCGTTGAAAGTGATAAAGTCAAGCTCAGCCTCGATGTGAGTGTACTCGGACAGATGGCGACGGGTAAGCGACTTCTCAGCACGGAAAGAAGGGCACACACAGAAGACGTCGCCAAGGGAGGGGAGGCAAGTCTCCAAGTAGAGCTGGGAGGACTGGGTCAAATAAGCATTCTCGCCATAGTAGTCGAACCCGAACAAGGTGCTTCCACCCTCCACCTGAGTCTGGACCATGGCAGGAGGGGTGACTTCCAGCATACGGTTCTCTTCAAAGGTCTTGCGGAAAGCCCGGAGGGTAGCCGCGCGAACCTTCATGACTGACGAGGCGGTCTCACCACGGAGAACGAGGTGGCGGTTGTCATAGAGGGTTTGCGGATCAGCATCAGGGGCCACCCTGGTGGTGATGGCCTCCTTGTCACCAGCAGCGCGGCCAATGATAGTGTAGAAATCAGCGTGCAGCTCACGGTTGTTGGGAGCATGCTGCTTAGGTGGGACGGCACGCATCTCACCATGGATAGCAATCGAAGTCTCAAGGGTAAGAGTCATGGCATCGTAAGTCTTACACAGATTTCCAGTCAGGACACACTGCAGGTAGCCATAACCATCGGTAAGAGTGAGAAAAATAACATCCTTCTGAGCACGCAGACGGTGAACTCTTCCAACTACACGAACACGAGTTCCAGGAGTCTCCGACTCGGGAGATCCCAGCGTGACAACGGCCGGATCAGTCACATCAAGACGGATCTTGGTGGGCTTGGGAAGTGATGTGTCCTCCTTAAGAACGACCTTCTTCGCCTCCTCAAGAATAGCCTGTCGCTTCTCGGCCTCCTGCTTCTCACGAATAGCCAATTCTTGTTCCTTCGCAGCCTTTCTCTTCCGTTGCTCATACAGGTTGGTAGCCTTCTTGACCGCCGACTTCGTGGCCGGCTTCCACTCCAACTTAGACGCGGGGTCGGCACCTGCCTCCGTGGGCTCAGTTTGGGACTTGCGGGTCAGGTACTGGTTGCCATCGGTAGGAGCGTGCTGCATGAAAGCATGAAGGAGGGTCTTGTAGGGGGCAGATTCAGTTCCGTTGGCGGTCGAGTCGTCCCTGCCGACATCTTCGTCAATGTAGATAGAGGCCATTTTGGTGTTTCGGGCGTAGAGAGCTGGTCAGCGCAAGTGAAACGTGGGTTATGAGCTGGGCTCTGGAGGAAATGTCAGTCGAGATGTGTTGCGGAGACGCATGTGAGTCACCACAAGAGTCTTCTTATCGGGCGCTCATAGGCATTGAGAGATAAGACAAAAGGACAGAAAGCACTCACATATAGACCAGTCACTCTGGCCAGGAAGGCGATTATGCAGCAAGTCCCGCGGGAATGGAGGCCAAGATGTTCAACTCGCACAGTGTGAAAGTGAACAGTGGAGGGGTAAATTTTTGGATCCCGCTATCCCCACGTATTATTCAGGCATCAACAAGGCATACACACTGCCGCCCAGCACGGATACTACCTTATCTAACCACTTGGAGACGCGGGATAAACATACGTCCGGACGATGTCTTCTAATGTAGTAGTCATGCGGCACCAAGCCCTTTATCCATGAGCAATCTGAAAGATTCATACTTTGGATGGAGTAGTCTGAAGAAGGGTACACATCGGATGATGTCTAAGAGTACAGTAGACCACTTGCGCCGATAGAGACAGTAGTCGCTGTCCTGAACTTCTCAATCACCACGTCATACTATCTCCCAAAGATATCTCCTCTTTCCCCAGCCAGCAGTTCTTATGGGCAATAACTAAGTCTGTACCGGAGTAGTGAAAGGGTTATTACTGTACAGAGCATAGTAGTACTAACCATTTGCAAAATGGCCCGCCATGGAAGGCCCATGGCGCCAAGACCCAATGGTTCTGCAGCCGGACCGGGTCAACATTAATTCCGTCAAGTTCAAGAGCCGCTGACCAGGACACCCCACCAACACAGATCGTTCGTAGACGCTGTGGCTGGTTGAAAGTCTCCTGCTAGCCCCAACTCCTGGCACAGTCGTTGATTGATCAATCATTTACGGCCAAAATGACCGATCGCAATGTGGGAAAAGCAAATCCCCAATTGATGCGTCTCAGGGGATGACATAACGCCTGGAGGCGCTGATACCGCTGCAGGGCGATAGAACGGATTATAGGCTTCTCAGCATTTGCTACGGCCGAAATTACGCTGTCTCCCGAACATGTTGATCGGTCACCGTCTGAATATCAATCAGAAGGGGTTGTTCTCGGGCAGGCTACGTGATACCTCCCATTCTGAGACCGATTGATAGCAGAACAAGGCGCTTGAATCTGCGTGGAAGCGCAGCGTGCTTGCTGAGTGGGAAAGCCGCTGCTTAGTGCTGCTAATGCGACGGATGACAGATGGTTGGATGGAGTCCTTTTCCCCATCTTTTGCCTCAAAAGTATGGATCTGCTAAAACCTTTCACTCCACAAGAATTGATTACGCTATTACTATAATTATCCATTGGGACTTTTCCCGCAGTCAAAATGATGGTTCAGGTTCACTATGGAGCATTGACTGGTTGAGGAATCCTTCTGCCGCAAATCCCCTTTCTTACCCACCTGCTTTTTTCCCCCCTTTGATACATCGATTACATACTTGCTGCTTTGTCTCGGCCCATTCCTTGCTTACCTGACCCTGTACCAGTCTGTCTCCTTTTGGCTAGTTCCTCGCGTTCTTCACTATCTGGGATTGTTGGTTCTCCCACAACAGTTCCCTTGGTTCGAGTGTGACTTTTGTTTAATTACTCGGGTTGTTGATGATAATTTTCTGATAAGCTTTCTTTTGTTTGATTACTGTTTACTTTTCAGTTTCATAAGATAGTTTGGGGAAAGCACAAGAGAAGAATTGGAGGGTGTTGTTCTTGTTCTTTTTTCGCGGATATCATTCATCATTATCTTTATTTTCCTCTCACTATTTATCGCGCCTGTGTCCCTCAAACACGCGCCCCCCTTTTTCCCCTACCAGGGGCCCTCTTTTTTCCTCACCCTTCTTTTCCGCTTAACTTGTACTGGCGGCTGTAATCTTTTAGTTTAATTGTCCTTTGCAATTACTTTCTCTCTTTCCCTTTGCTTTTCTTTACTCTTCGTCTACTGTTATTACCACTTATCCCTTTTCAGTTGGATTGTCGGCGGCCTTTGGATACCTTCTTTGTCAACGTTTGGGTCCGCTGCAACCTGGCACTCTGGCAGGTCTGGGGCGTTCTCCCTCTCCAGTACTCCGTACTCTCATTTGACAGGGCCATCTTTATTTCTATCATTATTTTTATCTTTTTATCTTTGTCCTTTCCATTCTAATCTCGGTTGGTTCTCAGTCGGAGCACAACTTCACTCTTGCTTTAGTCTCTCGGCCTCCTCAACCCGCAAAGCCCCCTAAAGCAACTAAACCAGCGCAGGTTTGTCTCCGTTTCCACCAACTCAACCACTCATTGTCCATGCACATTCCAATTGACTAGCGGGATCCCTTCTAGACACGTCCTTATTGGCAGTCTTTCTGCTCCGTGCTCTTTGCCGTCCTTTCTGCTCTTCTTTCTCATTTTGATTACCCTCATTCTGGCCTCTCCAGGTCTCTGTTTTCTTCCTTATTTCCCCCCTTCTCTTTTCGGGGGTGATCTTCGGGCCCGGCCTTTTTTCCCTCCCTCCTGGCCATTCCTACCGTGTTGATTGCCTAGTACGTCTCCCCCTTGACTAAGTGATATCGTCTATTTCTCATCGACCACGAACTCATCTTATTCCGTTTCTCTTCATTAGGGGGACAATTGTGTCCTACTCGCTCCCTCTCCTCGCCATGCAAACCTCCGATGCAAGCATTCCGAGTCGTCTGATCCCTTCCAAGTTTTCCCACCTCAACGCGGACAGCACCGGTTTCTCTCACGGAGCATACGCCTCCAACAATATTCCCCTGCAGGGCCTAACGGACCGGAACGCTCGTCGAGCCAATATCCCTGCCATTAATACCTCTGCTCCCGTTTCGGACAACATGGCCGCCTCTGGCGCCGCGTTCGACATGAACTTCACTCCCCTACTACCCTCTCAGTTGTTGCTTGGTAGCCCCTTCCAGCCCGGTACTCCCTCCGCGTTCGCCTCGCCTCAATTCGCCAATTTCGGTGGCTTTCCTCAGACGAATGCCTCTTCACATGCCCAGAATCACCAGAGCCACCATCAGCTCGGAAGTCCGACCCAGCCCTCGCAGAATGCTGGCCTATATTCTGGTATGATGTCGACGGATGGTATAGGTAACTCTCAAATGCTGGGGGCCCCTCAATCTCCTGTTGGTGGTTTGGGGCCCATGGGCAACGCAGCGTACGGAAGTCCCGCTGCCTCGGTAACCCCTGGCTTGCTTTCGGGTACGAGCCGAACCGTATACCTAGGCAATATTCCGGCAGAAACCTCCGCGGAAGAAATCTTGAACCATGTTCGAAGCGGCCAAATTGAGTCGGTTCGTTTGCTTCCTGACAAGAACTGTGCTTTCATCTCCTTCCTGGACAGCAACTCCGCAACCCACTTTCACTCGGATGCAATCTTGAAGAAGCTTGCAATCAAGGGAAATGATATCAAGGTGGGTTGGGGCAAACCATCTCAGGTGCCTACTTCGGTCGCTTTGGCTGTGCAGCAGTCCGGCGCATCACGGAATGTATACTTGGGGAACCTGTCGGAGGACATGACAGAGGAAGAACTGCGGGAGGAGCTAGGAAAATTCGGCCCCATTGACACCGTCAAGATAGTCAAGGAGAAAGCGATTGGATTTGTCCACTTCTTGTCGATCAGCAATGCAATGAAGGCTGTTTCTCAACTTCCTCAGGAGGCTAAGTGGCAGGCACCCAGGCGGGTATTCTACGGCAAAGATCGGTGCGCTTATGTTTCCAAAACTCAGCAGCAAAATGCAGCTCAGTTCTTGGGCATTGCCCCTGGTTATGCACACATTCTCAATTCGGCGGACCGTGATTTGATCACCAACGCACTCGCTCAGCAATCTGTCGCCGCCGCGGCTGTGGCCACCACAGCCGGTGGAGTCAACAACTTGGGCAACCGGACCATCTATTTGGGCAACATTCACCCCGAAACGACTATCGAGGAGATTTGCAATGTCGTGCGTGGTGGTTTGCTACATCATATTCGCTACATTCCCGATAAGCATATCTGCTTTGTCACTTTCATTGATCCTACGTCAGCCGCGTCCTTTTACGCCCTGAGCAACCTGCAGGGCCTCATGATTCATAACCGTCGTCTGAAGATTGGCTGGGGTAAGCATTCCGGTCCTCTTCCGCCGGCCATTGCCCTGGCCGTGAGTGGCGGAGCTTCTCGAAATGTCTATGTCGGTAACCTCGATGAGACCTGGTCGGAGGAGCGCCTTCGCCAAGACTTCTCCGAGTATGGAGAGATCGAGCTTGTCAACACGCTCCGTGAAAAGAGCTGCGCATTCGTCAATTTTACCAACATTGCCAATGCCATTAAGGCAATTGAAGGGATGCGGAACCGGGATGAATACAAGCGATTCAAGATCAATTTCGGGAAGGATCGCTGCGGTAATCCCCCGCGTCAAGCCGGCAATGGAGGTCCGCAGGGTCGCAATGGGTCCGGGTTTGAGGGGCCTCAGTCACCTTCCCCAGCTTTGAATGGCTTCCAGCAGAACCTAAGCCAATCTGGCTCGGGCTCTAGCCCGACTCATCCTGCCCTCTCTCCTGCTCCTGGGTCTACGGGTTCTCAGAACGGCCAGCACCACAGGCATCCCCTGCAGACGGTCTCATCCCCATCTGGCATTCTAAATGTCGGTGCCAACAATCCGTTGACCATGTACCTCAACCAAATGTCCGCCCAGCAAGCCCAGGAGCAGGAAAACCGGCTGAACGACCCCATGACCTTGGCTGGTCTTCAGTCCCAGCCTCAACCGCCGCAACAGCAGTCGCTCTACAATGGCGCCAGCACTGGTGAGCTTTCCAATGGCAGCATCGAAGCCCCATTGCATCAGCACAAGCCGTCGACCAACGGATTCTTGAACGTAACCAATGGATCTACGGGCCCCGGCCACCACGCTACCGCTAGCACCAGCAGCCTGAATGTACCACGGGCGCAGCATTCCCGGGCCGTGAGTTTGCCTTCGTTCTCTCAGGAGCCTTTCGGATCTGTTTCAAGCCAGCCTCCCCGCTCCGGACTTGCTCATCAGCCGCAAAGCAGCTTTTCAAGCTTCACCTCTGCCCTAGGCGGTCTCAGCCACGCCGGCTTCGGATTGGCCATCCAGAACGAGAGTTCGCTGCCCGGCTGGGCTGAGGAGGAGATTGGGGCCAAATAATCGCACCCTGTCGCCGCAAGGATGATGCCCGCTATTCCACTTGATGAGCATAGCCATTCTTCTTCCGCGTTCTGTTCCATCTATATTGCTTTGCCACTTGGCTAATTCCTTCGATGTCTCCATTCCGATTCCTTTCTTTGTATTGGTTTCATTTCACTTCACTTTGGTTTTTCTCTCTTTTAATTGTGCAAATTTCCTTTCTCCGGCAACCCCCTCTTACCGATTTTAATATTCCTTTATTCCTATACCATCACTTGTATTGCTAGCTGGGCATGATCTTCTTCATCTTCTTTTGCCTTTCTTTCTTGTCATTTCCATACATTGATTCTGCTTTTTTTTGGCCATTTTGCCGTTTCTGATCTCCAGTTGGCTACGAAGGCGGGTGAGAGCACAGCCAGATCCTACGCCGGTTTCGGTGGGGTCTATTGATGTCTCAGGCTGCTTATTTGCATATGTGATGCCATTCAACGGAACTAATCCCGAGCATAGAGCTCCCCTGTTGCATTTTGATTACGACAAGGGTTTATATAGCGGCGGAGGTAATTGATCCAGGATGATAATAGTGGATCCGCCAGCAAGGAACATAAGAAAGACGAGAAGAAGAGTGCTCAGTGCATAAGAAATGACAGACATGTGGTCACAATATCAAATGACTCCCCAAGGACTGTAGTACTAGATTGTACGGCGTAGCAGCTACCGCATTGGGTAATGCATCAACATTAGGGTCACGTGAGCATATACCCGCCTGGTCGCGCTAGGCCGGATGGAGATGTACCATGGAACCAAACGAAGCCGCTGCGATCACCATCATTTCACTTCACCACACTTCTCGAGGTCCTTCATCCCCGCCGCTCTTTTGACAACACGGTCGAGGCCGCTTCACATTTCTATCGAAGCACAATGTCCCTGCCCCCAGAGCAAATTAATATCAAGCGTCGCAGAGAAGAGGAACCGGTCGAGACTTTATGTAAGACTCCCTTGATTCGTTGCATGAGCGGCCCTTCTTTAGTGACGAGGCCCTCAACTGCACAATATCACGAGCACATCCCCTTTGCTTATGGTCACTCTACCAAGATCCCAGCGCTAATACAATTTCCCAGACATTCAGTCAGAGCTGCATCAGACTAAGCGTCGATTCACGGACTTTGTTTTTCAAAGGGTCCAGATCAGTGGCAATAGCCATGAAGACAGCTCGTCTAGCCCGTCGTCTTTTTCAGCAGCGCGGAGAAAAGTGCTTACCCCGCGGTCGGTGAGCAACACCGTCTATCCAACTACTGGGGGCGTGACCAACCGCGCTGCTGGTGCAGGAGCAACTGTCCCCTTGGTAAGAGCCACGTCTCCTGGGGCAGAGTTCCGCGAGGAACGTCGCCTGGCGAACGCTCGGAAAGAGAATGAGGAGAAGTTGAGAAGAGCCTTGCTTTCAACGCCTACAGAGAGCCAGCTGGGAACCCCATCTGCTGTTCCAGCTTCTATTGGATCTGATGCCGCCCGAAAGGTAGCGTCTTCTGCATCCAGTGAGAGAGAAAGTCTGGCTTCTTCACCGGGACGGACGCAATCTCTACGTCGGTTCCAGATTTCTAGATCCACAACGCCAATGAGCCCGCTCCGTAGCACAGGCGGTGGTGTTCAGAAACGCAAAGATGGCGCGGTCGCGGTGCTAGTAGAGAAATTGAGGCGCACGCCGCATTCGAGACAAGCATCGATGGTCGCTGATGCTGCTGCTCAGGTGGATGAGCAGGCAAGCATGACGGTTGCAGGCGCTCTGGCCTCGGAGAAACCAGAACGGCCGAGGAAGCGGCCAGTAGTGAACCAGGCGGAAAAGAAATGGAGAGAGGAGCGTAAGAGCGCGATCTCAGCTGCTAAACAGCATATCTCACAGGTGCTGGACAGAGAAGCCGAGGCGGCCCATCAGAGTAATTGGGAGAATGAGTCGGAACGATTGGCAAGGGAACTGGAGAAAGTGGCTCTGGAGCTGGATTCGGAAATGGATGTGACGGCGACCGAAACAGACTACACGCAGCTTTCGAGACCGTCTCGGCCTCCTTCGGTGATGCCCAAGCCTCCGTTGAAATACCAACCGCGCACGCCCAATAAGCATCGTGCGGGAGCCTCGGACGCACAAGTGATGCAAGGGCCAGTAGAGAAACTTGAAGAGGCGGCGAACACTCTGCCTGGGGGGCCTGAGGAGGAGGAAAGCGACGGGGAGTACGTCTACGACACGTACATACGGAAGCCACTCCCAGGCACTGGACTGCTTACGGACCCATTAGTCGGTTTGGATACAGACCAGGAGGCTTGGTTGCGGCAGCATGGCATCGATGCGAATCGCCAAGACATTGGAGTTATCGTCATCACGCAGGAGGATGAGGAGTACTGGGAGAACTTTGTCGAGGATGAAGAGGACGAGGACCGGTGGGATAGCGAGGACGCAGATTCGAACGGTAAGCAGTCGATCGCAATTTTGGCAGAACCTCTGCAGAAAAGGCTAACAGCACGGGCGTTCCCGGGCAGCTGAAAATAATCCCGCAAATGACTATCCAGATGAGGAATTGTCGTGGGACGATGAAGAGGACGATCCAACGGCTATCTACAACAAATACCGGACCTACGCTCGGTCTGATGACGAGGAGTTCGACTTTGACGACTCAGCCAGTGAGGGGCGCCATCGTAGTGGATTCGGGTTTCGGTCGCACGTGGATTCAGACGGCGAGAGCTGGTGATCGGAGGGATTACGGTGACACACGCACACAGAGGGAGACACGCACAAGCCATCAATCGGGAAGCAAGTGAGCAGGGAATGAGGGCATGGCTGACCGAACAATGAGGCAGCGAGACTAGCTCGGGTGGCTGCGTCTGCAGAACTCACGCCTTGTTTGGGTTGAGGAATTCATCGTATGTATGGTACTTTTAAAGCCATGTTTATTGCTGGCCGTCGATGAGGACGACGAGCACCTCGATGAGGCTGGGCTCGAATCGACTCGACTCGACTGACCTCTTCGCCATCCTTGAAGTCATCGACGTAGGGCCCTGATTCACCGCAAGATCAGCAGCCGTCATGCCTCTGCAGAAATAATCTGCATCCGCATCGCTGCTGCAGGATGAGCTGGGCCGCGACGACAGGACTAGGCCGTAAGCCAAGTCAACCGATGTCTCCGGCCAGTAAGGACCGTTTCAGAATTGCAGTGGTGTATTCTTCCTTCCTTCTTTCCTTTCCCTTTCCTTCCCTTCCTCCGGGGAGAAAATGATCGATCCTTCAGCATCTCGGTCTCCCTTTCCCCCCCTTCTCCGTCCCAACGCAGTAAGAACCACGAGAGCAGCAGACTTGAGCTGATCTCACCACCACCACCACCAACCCCCTCCTCCTTCTTCTTATCCCTCCTCTTTCCCCCCACGACTCTTAACACACAGACTCCAAAATAAGATTCTAACGGACCGAAGTAATGCGGGGTCCAAATCCTTCAGAGAACTCTCAAGCCGATATCATTCGCCCCGTCATCTGATAATACGATAGATAGAACCTTCCAAATTCTAATCTCTGAATAATCGTAATATACGGACTAGTCATGCTCATTTTTCGGGATTGAAACTAGAAGCGAAGTAGAAAAATTGAATAATAATTAATAATTCGAAAACAGATCCAAATAAGAAAAAGAAACGTTGAAAAACCTAAGACATACATGCACAAGCAAAGCAATCAAGCCAACCATTTATCCTTGCCCAACACCACCATCTGTCCAACCCACCTGATCCATCCCTCCCTCTATCCTCCTTCATACAGGTATATGTATGTATATACGTATGTATTGTATGTATCTGGTACATGCCGAGAATTCCATCCATGGTCTGAGCGTCTACTTCATGCGGTAAGTAATCCTGATATCTGCAACAAAATCCTTCCATTCATCATCCATCCACCCATCCGCCTAAATACATAACCATTTGTAGGTTTCATGTATGTTGTAAGCAAGTAAGTAGGTCAGGTCAGGTTACACTACACCTCTCTTTCTCATTTCCCTTTTCTCTTTCTTTTCTACTTTGGGTTTTGACTTTGACTTTCATGTACTCTCGGGATCTGAAAAATCCTTCGATCAGCAAAATTCGTCTGCAGACTCTTTTTCTTCTGTCCCGCGCGTCTCTTTTTTCGTCTGCCCTGGGTCTACCTGTCATGTCTCGGATTGTATTCTTGGTTGGTGGGCAGGGGAGGAGATGTGAGGGGTCGATCATTGGTTTCTTCCTTTACGTTTTCCTCTTGTATCATGTAGAAGGGTGTATGCTTGAAGTATTGGTATTAGAGTGTAGATTGTCGAGTAAAATTAGGAGGGAGAATTGCATTTAGACTCGGCTGACTAGTACGTGGGGATTTGTGTACATTACATTTTATAATTCAGATACTAAGTATACATTGTCGTTTGGGGGGAAAAAAACATGTGAATGCTAGCTAGCTATCATCCTAGTCCTATCGAGCCGTATAAGATCAACCGTATAAGCGAGGATAGACCTATAATGAAACCCCCACTATGTGGCTATGTGGGAGATCAAAGCTCCTTACTTATCTTCGACTGTGGGTGGGTTGACGGTGTTGTTGATACTATTATTGTAGTGCATATCTTACTATAATTCACTCTGATATTGATCCCCCTTGGTACTTGTTTGTCTATACTTGCATACATCATTAGAGCGTATGGTGCTCTTATAGGAGATAGATGTGTAGTATGAAACTTCGCCAGTAGCTGATTGAGTAAAAATGACTGGGGTGTACACCTCGCACAATAATGCGCTATATATATATCTACTCATCTACAATGCCACAAATACGTATGTCATTCTCAGCGAGGTAAAGGGAAGTAGGTAGACAAGTCAATCAGTCAGTCAGCCTACAGCTTGTGTATCATTCAATTTCTTCTCCCCCTCACGATTGCTTCCATGGGGACCCAATAAGATATTACACCACTACTCATCATTTTTTGACGCTGTGCTAGTCATCAGGTAATTCAATACGTTCAAGCTTTTACCCCCTGTCTCCCCTAGCTAAACCCTCTCTCTCACGCAAGAGTCGATGATGCACTCCTATCCTTGAATAGGGAATAGGGAAAGTATCTATATCTCTTTGATCTATCAGTCAGAACAGGAACATAGTGTATGGAACTAGCATTACATTACAACCAATCTCTTCTAGTTGCAGCCGAGTTCTACACATCTCCTTCACTATATCCGTATCCGCCATACACACCATACATAAAATACCGTATCTAACACACCCACCCCCGTATCAGTACGTATCACTCAGCATTTCTCGGCCATCGGACATAAGTGCCAAAAGAGTCTATGACAACAGAGCGGGCAGGCTACCTTACAGTATGGCCTGATTCACGGCTACTAAATATTTTGGAGTAATTATTTGCTTGCTTTCCTACGGGCTCACTTTTCCAACAACGATTGATAGATAGTATAAGGTGGTCAATTGATGATTGTCCATAGTCCCAGTAAAGTTATTTCCGTAACCAGCCCTTCGAAAAGGTGTGAAATAAACAAAAAGTGATGAGAACCAACCCACCCTTAGCCATGTGTGTAAAATGCATGTATGCAAGCAAAGATCAGAGAGCCTCCCAAGTAGTTGTAGTAGTAACATAACATGCTGAATGGTGCCGACGTAAAGAGCGAAATGGAATGATGACAAAAGAAATAAAGAGGAATGAAAATAGATGGGGAATGGAGAAGGAGAAGGGGGAAATAGAGCAGAATCGAGGAATTAAACAGAGAGGTATCTTCAGACGGCCGTGAGTTGTATCAGAGAAATTTCCAACAAGACAAGAAATAAAAAGAAAATAAAAAGTTTTTCAAAGACATCAAATTTGTCAAGTCAGATGGTCATTAGGAGGAGCGAGGAAGTGGAGGTGAAGGGGGGCCTTTGTTTTTTTCTTTTCGTTTTTCCTTTTCTCCTTCACCTGGGTATGCGTCTTCTGAGCACTTCCTCTTTGGATTCACGCATCCATGGATACCATATCCCCACCCAGTCAACCACACCGAATCGCGGGGCCCCCGATTCAGCGGCAAGACCCGCTCCCTCGCGAAGAAAGTCACCGTCACGGAGACGCCGTTGCTCTCGCAAGGTTGGGCACTTTTTTTCTTTGATGAAGCGATAGAATTTGCATTGGATTCCCTGGAAGCCCCGACGCTGCCGGCTAGGAAACTGTCGGTTGAAGCTTTCGCGTACTTCTTTCCACTCTTGGCAGAGGTCCACACGATGATACCAGATGAAGTACATTTCCTCTTCCTCGTACTTCGGTCGAGGAGGTCGGCGTCGCTCCGGGGCATTGCTGGAGCTGCTGGAAACCGAGTCATATCGCTCTCGCGAGTATGCGCCAGGAGATGACTCGGCCGATCGTGGCCGATAGGGCAGAAATGCTGCGTCCTGGGATGATGCAGAACTTTCTGCATAAGGGTGGTGTCCATCTGAGTAGGGGGAATAAAAGTATTGGTTGGGACTGGGAGGATATAGAGGCGACAGTTGTGGTCCTGGGTGACTGTAATGCATGCGGGAGCTTGTACTTTCTCTCTCTGACGATGGATTCAATAGAGAATCAATGGCCATGCGGCTTTGACGAGACGCCGGCATGTAGTTTGCCTGTGGCCGCTCGTGAAGGGTCTCCATGGTAGATGTGTAAAAACAGCGGTAATAATGACAATAGACGCGTTGATGGAGTGTTTTTTTTTTCTCCTTGTAGAGAGAAGAAGATGTTCCAGAGGTAAAGGGTGGAGGAAGTAGTGCGGAGACAAAAATAGTTGTTCCAGTGAAGGGAAGAAACAACCACCAGGTATATTTGACGAAGATGCAAGTAACGATGACTTCTCGCCCACACTGAATATGTTGGACTAACCAGAGGAGGCCAGCACCAAAGGGGGGTGGGTGGGGAGGAGTTTAAAAGAAATAAGAAATTTGGAAAATAGTAAGAGATTAAGGGAAAAGGAAGATAAAAAAGGAAAAAAAAAAGAGAGGTAAAAAAAAAAAAAAAACAAATCAGAAAATGTGACAGATGTTGGGTGTGTCTCTTTCAGCAAAGGCCAAAAGCGCTTCTACACAGTTGCACTACCTTACAACTGGAGTGTGCCTTGGTGAAAGAGAAAGGGAGAAGAGGAGAGGGAAAAAACAAAAATCTTGGGAGAGACAGAGAGAGAGAGAGGAAGTGACGTGGATAGGGTAAGAGGAATGAGAAGCTTTGTTGAACCGATTAATTTCCCAGGACAAGCCAGTCCTTAAAGCATCGCCAACGCCGCACGAGACTCCCGGTTGGACTCTTAGTGAGGGCAATGGTGGCCAAGGGTCCCTGTTAGTTCTTCTTAACCCATGCAGCGTACCAAACCTCTGGGACTGCCTGGCCTGTAATAGAGGCCGAAGTGACTGCGCCCCCTGTCCGGTCGTGGGGAGAGTCACTGCTACGGCGGGTACAGGACGGTGACCGGCGTGATGTGTAGCGCCTGCGCCAGCAGGGAACTGCGAGGGTAGTATATTGGTTGGAGAAGAGGAGAAAGCCTTGTAGGAGGGGAGGGCTGTTCGTCCACTGGTGGCAGTGGTGGTAGTAGTCTCGTTGTTGTTGCTGGGGTTTGTTTTCGCGTCTGTTCCTTCAACCCTAGTCCATCTGCAAGCATGTCCTCACTCGCTGTGGCTGTAAATAGTAAACCGGTATTTATTTCGGCCGGGGAATCCAGATGAACAACATAG